CCGGGCGGAGGCTGCCGCGCGCCGGCAGTGTCCCCTGCCCCACGCGCCCGCGCTCTGGGGGTTGGGGTGGCGGAGGCTCGCGGGAGTCGGCTCCCAGCCCTGCGTTGGTCCCGAATTCGGCTCCGAGAGCGGAAGAGGGAGGAAAAGACTGAGTTTTCCCTGTTGCCGTTGCAGGCGTCCGCATTTCTAACCTGTTCCTCCCCGGGGAAGGCGAGTCCTGGGAGAGGCTGTCCCGAGACTGGGGTGCCCGCGGGACCGAGGCACGCGAGTCGCTCGCCTCATGAGGGCAGCGAGAGCCAGTGGGTGAAGAAAGGACAGGGGGCCGGGTGGAGGGAGCCCCCGCCTGTGTCCCGCGTGGAGAGCCCGGTGCGGGTGGGAGCGTCGCCCCGCCTGGCGCCGCGTCTCTGCGGTTCGGAAGTGCAGCTTTCTCTGTTTTCCGTTCTCCTTGGTCGGCCTGGGTCACGCTTTTCTTATTTTTGGAAGATTGGTCTGACCCAACACAGGAAGAAAGTCATCAAGCGGTCGCGATCGTTTTCCATTACCTGAAAATAGGTGGCAAAAGAAGCTAGCCCCCCCCCCTTGATTGGCGGATCTTTTTGTTGTTGCTGCTGCTGTTTTTTAATTTGGAATCTTGTGCGTTTTTACAAAGTGGTTTCTGTGTGGGTTTGGCCCACCCTTGTGCTGAAGTGCCCCCCCCCAATCCTTAGGGTGATCACACACTTCTTAATGGGTATTTCAAAGTAGTTTAAAAGCAGGAGTGGGAGTGAGAGGGCCCCGGGGGTGAGGGGTGCGAAAGAGGCAGGGGTCGGTAGAAATAACTTTTAAAAGAGAGAAAAAAAAAAAACCTCCCCCCGAAAGATGCTTCTTTCCACAGGAAGCACATCTGCGCGGAAAGTTCCCAGCCCAGGGATGCGGGTCCTGCATGCCCGACGTGTGCAGTGGAGCCCTGTAAAATGTCCTTTCTTTAAAAAGGAATTTCTCTTTAACTTTAAGAAATACAGATGTGTGTATGTCTGTATTTTAATATATAGGCGTGTGCTAACTGCAGGCGGTGCCCTTTCGGCCAATGCGCGGCGGGGGCGCCGGGCGCGTGGGCCAGACCTCGGAGCCCGGGCTGTGTGTCTAGGGCAGGGCTGGGAGCCCGTGCCGGATGTTCGGGAGCCTTTGCGGGAACGCCCTGCGGTGGGCTACGTGACCTCTCCCTGGGGGCGGAGCGGCTCCCTTTGGAGCTGGAAGGCAGGTCTCCGGGGTGGGGGAGAGTTTCGGCTGCAAAGGGTGGGTCGGGAGAAGTGTGCTCGAGCTTTCGCGGCGCGTCCCCTCCGCAGGCGCGCGCACCGCCTCCCCTCCC